CCGTGGATGTAAATGTTTTAATCATTACAATTACCGTATTACAAAATATACCGATTAAAAAATACATTTGTTAGAAATTCAAACTCAAATCAGGATGATTATGACGTAATACTGATTATATTTCAATGTATAAGTTTATAACTTAGTTATAGTGAGTTGTTAGTGTAAATAATAATTATAAAGAATGAGTTTGAAAATTAAATCAATTTGTATTTATAATAGTAAAGCTGAAGCTGCTTTTTTTTTCGTTTATTTACTTCTTTGTATGTACCAACGTACCAATCACCGGAAGCATAAGTCTAATTTGGCTTTTATGTGATAATCCTTTTCTGAAACAGATTAGAGATAGATCGTCGCTTACCACCAGGCAAGATAGTGGTCAAACGTCGGCCCATCACACATAATACAAAAGTTCAAGACTGCATTACTGGGTTTTGTTCAAAATTCTCAGTAGTACACGGAACCTGGAATCGTGCCCGGTATATGGCAATAGGCTCACCCCCTATTACAAGGGACTGATAACATAAATAGTGAAAAGTGGGTGTTACATTGTACAGTGGCATTAAGTGCCGTAATGTGCACCTCTGCCTATCCCTTCGGGGATAAAAGGCGTGATATTATGTTGTTATGTTCAAGACTGCAAATACAACAAATTGAATGTTCTCGTTTAAGAAGTGCTCGTCACCACACTTAAAGACGGGTATATAAATCCATCAAAACTGATCCCAAAATTATATTTAGGTACTATTCAAATCTACAACTTTGAAAAGGAGTTCGTAACAAGAATTCTAAATGACTTAGTTACCTTTCTTAACCATATTTACAGAAAACATCAATTCTCACCAAACATGTCGAAAAAAAAGATAATGGATCAGTCAATTGCTCTAAAGTTGAGGGTCAATAATTATGGTCATGCCTTTCTCAAGCTCAGACCCAGTACTAGTGACCCATTAATTGAATTTAAGTTCAAGTAAAACCAGTATAAGTTGAGTTACTTGAACTCCATGCTTGTTATTGCATGCATTTACTTGGCAAAACGAGGTAGACAACTGTCATACTCCATGTTTATTAAACTGTCAAACACCGAGCGGTCATCGGTGACCGCAACCTATTGTTCTTTAATTGTGTCTATAAATACGGTACTCGACGAGTTAATTAGTATAATTGACTGCCTCGGTTGGCGAGAGGTCACAAGTGCGACTGCTGGGCAAGCGATCTCGGGTTCGATTCCCAGGTCGGGCAAATTTTTACTGGGTTTTTTTAAATCGCAGTAGTAGTAAGGAAGTCTCCACTTTTTGTTTTTGTTCCTTGAAGTTTAGGTAAATTAGCTCACCTTTTTCCGATCACTGGTTATGAGTCCTATGTAATAGGGGGTGAGCCTATTGCCATATACCGGACACATTTCCAAACTCCGTGCTACTACTGCGATTTTAAAAAAAACCCAGTAATAATTTGCCCGACCCAGGAATCGAACCCGAGACCGCTTCTAACATAAATAATGCAAAGTGGATGTTACATTGTACAGTGGCATTAAGTGCCGTAATGTGCACCTCTGCGTTGCCCTTCGGGGATAAAAGGCGTGATGTTATGCCATGTTATATCAAAGTATCCATACACTCTGTTCCAACCAGGCTCTAAGATCTCCGGACATAACTTCCGCGACCTCTCAATTGCAAAGGATCGCATTACAAAGTCTCGTGTTACTTTGACGTAACCGAACTAAAGTTAGTGGCCCTATTTCCTACTTACCACGTCTGCAGTCACTGTGACTGACTTTATACAATGCTATCAGAATCAGAAGGAAATATTTTCTCAAACAAAAAAGTGCTTTACATTGCTTGCGTGGCTAAACAAGTCTCGTTGGTGATTTTTTTTTTAATGGGGGCATATCATCGAATGGCTGCTCCCGCCTGGGTGAGGCGAGAGGGAGTGTCAGACTCTTACTGACTAAAAACCACCCTGTTCCTTCTCCTGCACGTCGAGCCGGAGCCCCGGTAACCCGTTAGGTTCTCCGCGACTCCAAATCGGCATCAGCCCTGTTGGGCCCCATCTGTAGTGATCTGATGGCTCTTTGAGGCGCGCGCGGAACGCAACGCGCCGTACGCTCGGGTCTGTTTCTGGTCGGACGGGGAGCCACCCGTGCTCGCCATCCGCATTGGTGATGAGGGTGTCACTTTAAGTCAAAAGAGTTTTAATTGAATTTCACATTCACATTCACATTTCCAGACTCGCTCGGCAGTCGCACTTGGAACCACTCAGCCAACGAGGCAGACAATTTCAATTTCAATCAATATAAAAGAAAATTCAATCAGAAGTGCTATAGTAGATTCATTTCATCTACACCTCACCTACCACTGTGCGTTTAGCCAAACGCCACTTTAGCGCTTGTCTACAGAGAGAGTAGAAAACTAAATGTATGGGGATGACACTGACAAGTGTCAAAATTTACGTCAATTTCATATAATTTGGTTTTCTATTCTACATGTAGACAAGCGCTTAATGGCATTTGGCTACAGCTGCTGGTCTTTGATAAAATGGTTTATTTCTTTCAAAGAAAACAAACTTTAAAACTAAACCTTTTACAATCATCTTTAGGATACACAAACGCTTCGAAAACTAAAATCTTGCAAGGATAACAAGCGTTGCAAGTTCATTCACCCAAGATAACAATACAGGGTGTTACATAAGACGTTAAATATTTACATAAAATACACAATTGATCGTTTATATCGTAATATAACCCGAACAATACGTGACAGTTTAGGAGCACGCTGTCTGTGAAAGCTTTTCTCACACCGCGAGCGAGCGATGACGTAACCGGCGTATTATCCACAGCTTTCGATTTCTGGATGAAATCAAAATGGCTTCCCTTTCTTCCAAATATAAATTTTGAAGCTTATGTAATGAAAGAAAAAAGTTAACATGGTGAGATGACACACAATACTCAAGTTACTGGGGGTGACAGAAGTGAAAGGACTTCCGAAAGTTTTAAAGTAAGTAGTCTCATTTTAAAGTTTTCCCATAACGTAACACCAAATAACAGGACTATTGGAACAGTTATTTTATTACTGAAAACTTAATTATCCTTTACCCAATCCAGTATATAATGCAATTAAAGACATGGTTAGATAATTCCAAATGTTACATCGCAAAGTCATAGACAAAGATAAACTTTTTAAAATCCAAGACAAACCATTTAGCCACTTTATAGCAACAATTAACTATTCATTGTCCTCACATTACAACGACCATATCCAATTGTTCGACAAGTTCCATAATCGAATACCGATACAACAACACACGTTGTATTTGTATATATATTTTTAAACGTTGCTATGTGCCCATGGACTGGGTCGATGAGGTAAGCGTCGCCGTTACCCGCAACTTTCGATTTCTGGATGAAATCGAGTCTGCTTCCTCGCACGGCACTGCGTCGTGACCTTGAGGAAAGGTGCCTTTACCTTACAATTATGAGAGAAAGATGATGCTTTAGAAACCACCTGCAATTATTCCGGTAAGCTACTTATAGTTAAGAGTCCTATAAATTAGGTAAACAAAATATGAAAATGAGACATTGCAATTCAGTTATTGCATAAAATAATTTACATATTTAAATACATAAATTAAAATATGCGCTTAGTAAGGCTATTTTTATACCAAAATTAATCACATGGCCTTCAAAAGGCCTACCTTGAGAGACACCAAAGAGAAATATTCAAAATTAGAAAACATAAAAAATAAGCGGCAACAATGTCAAACTTTACAGCCAGGAAGCTTGGCAAATCGATTGGAAGAAGTATCGATGTTCTGTATTTCCCAATCGAGTTGGTATTGGGTCAATCGCATCATTTTGCAACGATTACGTGTGCGATTTTCGTCACATGCTTACCTGACCGGTGTCATCGGTATACTGACACACACCGCATCACGTCAGCTTTAACTTCACACGACGTGTTACAACATCTGTAGTAATCGAGTTTAAGTTCACGAACCTCTTTTTACAGAGATTAAATCGTAGCCCTTCCTTAGTTTTAATTTTAAGAAACTTTATGGTTTCTTTCCTTTTATTTTTCTATCAAAACCAAACGTGTAAACAAGCATTAGGCAGAATGTATTCGCACTCCTCATGCTCTGCCAAGGCATAAATCCCCAAAATAGTAATTCTTTTGTGATCGATGTAAACATTATGAAACATACAAGTTTCACCAAACCCAAACCTTTTAAAACGTCACCTTAAGAATCAAATAAACTTCTCAATACAAAACATAATCTATGTACTCCAAAAACTTCGCCAATCTTAATGAAAGTGAGAGTAAAACAAGAGTAATTACACAAACTTACAGACAAACAAAAACAATCAATGTTAGCTCTAATAAATGTATCCCACGTCATTCAAGAACAAACAATGTCACTGATGATGATGTACTTCTGTCTTAGAAAATGCTAGAAGCAGGCGGAAAAACATCGTCATTTTATACAGGAACTGATGTTAATGAGTTCCTTTCGTACTTGCTGGTATAATATGAACAATCGTGCATATTTACCATGTAAATTAAGTACTTTGCTAATACCATTCGACCTTTGCTAACTAGATTCAGCTGAATATTAGTACATTTGGATAAGACCCAAAGTTGATCCCGACTTGCATTAGTAAAAAACTAAGACAAAAAAAATGAATGTGGGGATAACAAATGATCTGAGACCAAAAAGCCTTAAAAAATGAATAGTTCAATCCATGATTATAACAATAGAGAAATAATGAACAACCTGTATAACCAATTACCTAATATACATTCCACAGTTATCAATCTCTAGAACAAGGAGATCATTTTAAACAACAACAATCAATAACCGAAAATCACTACGCAATTGTTAAGCCATAGCGAGATTAATTACTGACATGACATAACAACATGTAACAACGTTCAAAGATAACCTAAATTAGATCACACCCGAGCTATCAATGTCACAGCACCGCTCATTATACAACGCAGTGATTGCAGCAGATAGTCGAATTTCACCAAACAAACCATAACATTCCCCGCGACCCACAACTCCACATAAGCCACCTCGTAACACACATTACGAATTTTCTGCAGCCAGGGAGCGAGCGTGGGGCGCAGGCCGACCGGCGCACGCGCACCGCCAGTCCACCACGCGGAGTCGCGTCGCGCAGCTGTCGCGAGCCAACCGGAACACTACCCACAAAATCTGTCAGTTCTATTTTTTTATCTAAAACTGTCTCCTTAAACTTTTATCAGTTAATTGTACCGTGAAAAAAATTATAGACAAATATTTTAAAAATCGTCTGTTTCGTGACTGACTTCAGCGATTATATCGTTTCCAATGTACCTGTAATGTGGTGTAATAGAGCCTTATCTAACGTAGCGTAATACGACTGGTTAATCTTGTTGATTATTATATAACGTCACACTCCTTTTTCAACCCTGGATTGACGTAAGAAGTTAGCGTGTTTTGATAGGTCATGTAATTTCAACGATCCTTTCGTTTTTACTCAAGAACCTGAATCTTGTAATCGTGATAACATCGAAGAATCGTGAACGCGATAAATCTAAGAAACTCGTTAACATAGTGTTAAAGTCGGTAAAAGCTAGGAATTTGAAGTTATGTAAGCGTAATTCTATATACTTGAGAGGCTGTGAACGAACTTATTTCCTGACTTCATTGAAAATTTGCTATACGGTCGGTAATAGCTGTTTGGTGCTGAAAGCAATTTGAATAACATGTTTCATGGGACTGTTCACAGACTTTATTGCTTTGTTCCTTTAGTCTGAGAGATTCACTCTCAATAGTTTCGTTTTAAATGCGTTGAAAAGTTACGTGAAGCTCATCTCGCTTCTGTATTCTTTCGGTTCGGTTTGAGTGATCTAATGCAGCTTTGGCGTGACCTGTCAAAAGATAATCGTTGCTAACCTATTACGTCAAAACAACGGTAATTGCTTCTCTGCATAATACTAGCTAATGATTGGACGCAATTAGACGTATTTACTATTATGTAACTGCTGTTTAATTCTACTGACGCAAGCCCCTAACTAGAATATATTTACTTGAAATTTATAACGTTTTTGGCCTACATTCCTTTAAATTTTTGAACTTTAATTGTTTGAAAGCTGCATGCTTAGGTTCTATTTAATTAATGGCAGGTTCGCTAATTATCTTTGAGAAAAATGTGACGTCAAGTTCCGAATTTCTTTGTTGATAACATTAATAGTGAACATGATAAATCAGAAGAGCTTGCAGAAATCAATGAACATTCTTAAGGCAATCGTATTACACCACACGCAGAGTAGATTTTAGAGAAGATTAGCGATACCAATTCGATTGAAGGTGCTAAGTTTACTAGAGCTATTAACACTGTTTCTCATGTTGTCACTTTTTATAATTATAGGTTCATCACTCAAGTTCAAAGTGCATCGACAGTGCGTGAGAACAATAACCACAGTACTCATAGACGCATTACTTTCGACGAGTTCGTTCGCCTGGGACTGTCTACTGAGTACTGAGTCTGCTGAGCCTACTGAACTACCAGTGAGTGCTGATCAGTGATTTGACCAAGTGTCCCGTGATAGTGAAGGTGTAGAACTTAGTATTCACGTTGTTTTGAGTGAAAATCGAGAGAAATGAAGGTGAGTGGTTTAATGACAATTTTATATTAATCTTAAGACTGTGTAGGTAATAATAGCACTTTCTTGGGAAGTCTGAACGATTATTTAGATTTTTGCAATTCAGATGATATTTTTAAAAATATTTTTAAAAATATTTTTTATTTTTTACCGGAACTGTCCAAAAAATATCCGAAAGCACATTTTAACAGAGCGCTTAAAAACCAATTACGGAACGACAATTAAGCCCCCATATTATCGTAAACACATAATTTTATGAAAAGCACACACACACACAAAGCGTTACGTAGTAGACTCAAATATGTAACATTCAGTATAAATATACAAAAATTTCTTAATCGCGAAAGGAATACAATGGTTTTTTACGTAATTTTACTTCACATTCGCACGATTATTATTAAGAGTAAACAAAATGTTCACGGTGATATTACAGTTAGATATGAGGGAGTACACGATAAAAGTGTTAATGTTAACAGATGACACTTTTGTCATAAAAATAATAATAAAACTCAGTGTGCCAAGGCCGGCAAATAAACTAAACATTGCAATAGGTTATGAAATGAAGCGGGTCTTGCGAACTCGAAGACTTGCTAAGTGAGCGCCGCGCCGCTGCCGGCAACTTCAGACATTCTTTTACTAGTTTTTCGTTAGTTATGGTTGAGTTATGAAGAAATAGTAATAACATAACAGTAACACTGTTTTCCTGTTTAGCAGGATTATTTAAGTTGTAAATCTGTGTTTTCGTCGCAGAGAACCTAACGGGTTACCGGGGCTCCGGGTCGAAGTGCAGGAGTAGGAACGGGGTGGTTTTTAGTCAGAAAGAGTCTGACACTCCCTTCCGCCTCAACCAGGCGGGAGAAGTCATACGATGATTTAAGCCCCTTAAAAAAAATCTGTGTTTTCAAAGTGTGACATAAAGTGTTTTAGTCAAACTCTCTTATTAATTAGAATTTTTGAAACCTACTCTTCTTCTACTCATCCGATGAATTGATTGTAAAAACCGACTAAGGGCCTTCGATATATTCCATTAATTAGTCGGTGCTGGCTGAAAATCTGTATACAAAACTTCGCGTCTGTTTCGTGACTCAACCGCAGCTTTTGAACCCGAAGTGCAATTTGATATCTAAGAAAAACTTACGGATTTACAAAACCTTTATTACATTTTGATCAACTTTTCAAAAACCCAGATCGTCCAGGAATTTGGATAAATGAATAGGCAATCGCAGCTAGGTAGGTATATGATTTATAAAATCAAAGTTAGTTAGTTACTAGTTTGATTAGGATCTATATGGTACTGATAAAAAAGTACTCAATACACATTACTAAAAACCAATAAGTATACACATTTCATCAAGGCTTTTATTCTCTACTCATTGTAGGCAATCACGAATATCTGACAAAACAGTTCCAAACAGTCTTAAACACTTCCTCATTAATCCATTAAGCTAAACATGGTTTACTATGTAAAGTAACTGTTTTACACATAAAAGCGATTAGGTTCTTAGTGTAGTGTTTATACATAATTTCTAGACATTCTCTGTGAAGACGTTTACTTCCGAGACTGAGATTAATGTGTCAGCCTCCTTTTTAGTGAAGGTAAAAGTGCATGCAACATTACAACCTCTTTGGTAGTATGTATGCAGCGTCATAGTTAAAGATAACAGTTATACAAGGTGTAGGAAAAAATATATTTTATTTGTTTATTTATTTAAAAAGCTTTATGCACACAAACAAGCAAATGGGTGGACTTAATGCCGCAGGCATTTTCTACCAGTCTGATCCTTGGGTGATGCAGAGAAAGTAATCAGCGGGTGCAAGAACATGCGTTGATTTTAACTATTTGAAAGAACACATACATAATTCGACAGTATACACAATATATCTATACTACAACGTAACTAAATATATATTGTTATCTTTTAGATGATATATGCTTAGATTTTAGAGTATATCATAGCTGTTTTTTCTCTGAAAGGGGTTGGCTTTTTATCCTTTGACAGGGTCTTTACCTCTAGATGTAGGCCTTCGCACCTTTCGCATTGTTTTCAACGCAATGTAATTGTCAGTCATTATTCTGAAGTCTTAACTTTACTAAAACTCTAAGATCTTATTCAGAATGTTATAAATATCGAAACAGAGAATTTTACCGCAATCAGAAATCGTATCACAGGTCTCGGCTAGCAATCAATAGATTTTATTTTAAGGGTCTAATCGTGTGGAATCAAAAGTTTTAAATTTACTAAAATGTTGCCAAAAAAACTGTAAATGAATATTATAATATACATTATTTACATGTTCCATCAACAAGTCAATTGTTAACTTAACACATCATAATTCACGATTTAACGATCATAACTTAATAAAAATAGGAGCAATATAAACTTCACCCACAAATCACTGAGCATATTTTATTAATACACTGCAATATAAACTCATAAATATAATAAAATTGATACAAGTTTATATTAAGTGGTTAGTTACTGCAGGCGCCGAGGAAGGCTGCGCGCGCGCCGTTTGATTATGCAAAACAGATACAAGTCTCATTGCATCACTATACATAATATCTCGTTGCGTTTTTTGACATAATCCTTTAGCAATAATGTTATTTGGACCAAATATGGACATCAAAATCGTCCATTTGCATTCGATTTTGTATAATTAAAACAATATGGTGGAATCAAATTGGTTGAGTAAATAAAATTATAACATAAAAGTTGCAAATAACCTAAATAAAAAAAGAAAAGACATTATTTAAAAAAATTGCCGGGGTAACTTTTAAGAGTAAAAACCATTGTAATGTGCTCAAAAAAGCTTAACATTTTTTTGTTTTCCCTCTGTACCGAAATGTTGTGGTCGAAAATTTACGTTGTAACGCTTAATTTGGACTCTAAAACCGATAAGGAGCATAAAAAAAGTATGTAATCAAATGAATTAAGACAAAATGGTCATTAATTTACACCTTAATTTTTTTCGGCTCGGTTCCACAACAACTCGCATAAACGCGGTTGTTTTTAGTCAGTATGAATCTGACGTTCTCTCTTGTCTCACCTAAGGCGGGAGACCAGGAAAAAACACCTTCATTTGGTTAAGTTTTAGGGAACAGAGAGTATAGATCGGAAAAGGAGGATCTTCCGACCAGGCGAGGTGATCGTGTCTGGCGGGCTTTCTGCCCAACAATTGTTCGTTGGGATTTTCTATCCGTGTTAATTTGCATGTAAACTTTGCATGTGCGATGTAGGATTGTTGTGACGTCATCGGTTGGCATGTAACATGTGTCGCCACAAAGTTAACTAAGTCAAAGTAACGTAATTGTTAAAATAGTAATTTCATAACAGAAAACATGAATCAATTGCTTTATCATAATAATAAATGCTGAGATAAATTCATGCACTGTTAATCGCAGACGTAACTTTGAGAATTTTAATAAGACGAGCCTACGGTGTGATGTGTGAATTATCTTATTGAATATCATTAGTTTTTATTATATCATTTCATAGTATTGAGACATCATTTGCTTTAGAAAGGGATGCTGAAGTACCTATTTGTTTTTTTTTTGTGATTTATATGCGACATCGAAATAATTCCTCTGTCAAAAATATTTTTTTGTCATTCGAGGTTCTAAAAAATAAAAATATCTTATGAGAAAAAACGTGTCACACCGACTTTGACTTAAGGAATAGGAAAACGGCACTACTTAGCACAACTAATATTTTTTTAACAGTACACACACAATGAGTGAGGTTACCGGAGGCCTAATTATTCTCCTCTGCCCCTCCCCAATCCCAGAATAGCCAAACAATACTCAAATTTCTAATCCCCAAAAGCCTGTAACGCACCTGTAACATTTTGTTCCTATCCGCTCGTTTACCAATTAATTCCATAAAAAAGACCACAAAATACACTACATTGTAGTGTCCCTTCCCTTCCCTTAATCATGAAACAAGATTACTGAACTTCCCGATTGACTCAAAACAACTTCACTACATCACATCACAAAAGTATTCTCTCTATATATAAAATAAATGTACCGTTCTATGACTAATAAAGTAATAACGTTTCACGCAATTACCTTACTGGACAAAGTTGTGTTCTCACAATAACACTGGGCTCTGAGCGTAACGAGTGACAAATAACGAAGTCCACGTAACACACAGTATTCACCCGGGAAATGCACTACCATTTGCGCAACACACCGACCAGTAGGTACTCCGTTTACGACCACCGATTTTTTAAATGTTTTATTTTGGTAAATAGTCCTATTGTTCTTCTTGTTCGAGTGAATGAAGATGACTTATTGTAGAATGAGATGAGTTTTTGTAGGTTTATCCTTTGATGTATTAACTATAGAAGTGCTAGATTGATTTTGATACGATTGTTTAAGGTATTATGAAGATAGAATGGAGTTTTCAAAAATAATGGTTTAGAGTTCGAAATTTAAATGATGAAACATACAAGATTAATAGCTTTTTGCTTGCCGCTACCAATTTTCATAGTTCTTTTGATATCTCTATATTTTGTGGAAAAAATATGTCGACAAAAAGTGCACAATAAGTAAAAGTGTAGTGAAGTATTTGCTTTAAGAAATGAGACGATTAGTTCCGTCTATTTGCCGCGCCTACGCTTGCGTGATCACTGCGCGGAAACTGGCGACCCCGCTGAGACACAGATTTTCATGAATAACTTCAAACACTTTATTATTTAGATTTATTTTATGAGTGCTGCATATTTTATGAGAATATCACTGGTCTTGATTAAGAGGTTAAACATTTTACAGAGACCAGGCAGCTGGATAATAAATCTGAACCTTTTAAGCTGTGATTTCTAACTAGCTTTCCAAGTGTGGAGGCTATAGCCCACACCGGTATACAGAGGAAGCTCATAGTTCAACAAGAGACTATCATGGGCGGTTGGAGATATTTATTCTTTCTCTAACATAGACTTTTAAGGGGGAAAAATCATCGAATGACTTCTCCCGCCTGGGTGAGGCGGGAGGGAGTGTCAGA